CTACATAGATATAAGATTATTGTTTGTTGAAGGCTTCGTACCGCATCCTATATTTGATGTAATCGACTTTATATATCAGTACATCTTAGAAGAATGTTCGGAAACTAGCTCTTTTGATCTTAACAAATCACCTTATGAAATCTCTGAAATGAAATTTAAGAATTTGATAAAATTTCAAATGGACGCATCAATAAGAGTAGACGATTTTTTTCAAAATAATAAGTTTATGTCAAATTGTCTAATAGGTGATACGAAAAAAATTAAAATTGCGGAATTACCTANATAGGTGATACGAAAAAAATTAAAATTGCGGAATTACCTAATAATTTAGAGTCTGTAAGAAAAGAAATACTTAATAAGTTTTTCAACGAAATTATAGAAGTTTGGTACAAAAACCTAGGATTTGAAGAATTTATCAAACCTAAAACAGCAGGGTAAGAATTCTATTATTTAATATTAATTTTTAAAACATATTATAGGTAGTATTTCAAAAGGTTTTTTAATAAATAAATATTTGACAACAAAAAATTATTTCTTTATTAAGAATATATATTAATTATTATCTAAATATACCACACTAATAAATCATACTTTATTAGTGTATAGTATAGTTGGTTTATCGAAAATAAATAAGTACATTTAAACTAGACTGTGCAACATCTTTATATAGATGTTTTGATTTTGAATCAATATTAGAGGTATTGTATTTAATGAATTGTTTTTAGTTTCGATGTGACGTTGAGAAGGTATTAATTTTACTGTGATGTGTTTTTTTTTCTATGTTTTCTAAGCTTAATTTTCTTGCTTCTTATAATTTTAGAAAAATAACTGTGAAATTTTAAGCAGCATAAGTTCTCATTTTTATCTAGGTAAAATGCGCTTTAGGTTTCCGTATCAGTAACATTTATGTCTTTTACACATGAGGTACGAAGTTCAAACCCGCCTGCGAAAATGAATTTTTTTGTTTTTTTTTCTTAATTCTTTTTGAGTCAGAAACAAATTTTTAACTNTTTTGCATTTTTTTCTTAATTCTTTTTGAGTCAGAAACAAATTTTTAATTCATTTGATTTTTATCTCATTTAGATTTAACATCTTCAATGAATATCACGAAAATCATCACTATATTCTCCCATCGTAAAAATATATTTCTTATTTATATCTAAATGATTGTACTTTTTTTGTAGCTATCATTTATTTTCTCAGCTCTCACTTCATGTAGTTTTTTCAAAGATACATTAAATAGTCACAACTAGTGTCTAGTTAAAGATATCACCTTCCAAATTGAAAAATTTCCACTTTATCAATTAAAAAGTTATTTAACCAAGATTTTCCATTTAAACAATTAAATCATTCAATAAATGTGTTTTTTATTGTCGAATTAGGTGTGATATTATAATAGGTTTCAACTAGAAAATCAGATATAAGTACTTTGTAATTTATTAATTTTTTAACTTTATTCGCGTGTATTACAACCAGTCTATAATATTCCAAATTTTTTGGTTAACTGTTTTTATATAAATCTTTTCTAAAAAAAATTATTTTTAGTTTCACCTGAATTTAACAATGGATTTATACAATTATAATAAATTTAATAATGCACATAATTGAGTAGATTTTTTTAACAATCATTGAAAATAATTAACTTAGGATTATATCAATGTAATTTTTTTTAAACTCCAAAAGTTAATTAGAAATGATTACCGTGATTTCAATGTAAGTGATCTATTACAATAAAACTGCAAACTAAATTTTGAACTTTTCTGAAAAATTTTTTGTAATAGTAATTACAAAATTTACTGACTGCATATTCATCTTAAAAATAACATTTTTTTATTTATCATAATATTTTTTTAATGTTATCATTATCAAACTTGAACTTTCATAAATATCAACTTTGAGGACCAAAAAAAATAGGTTGATAAAATGATATTTACAATGATTATTTTTAACATATTAAAAATTAAAATCAGTATTAATAAGAAAATCAATTTTTTTTGTTTTAAATAATTTTTTTTATATATAAATGCTAATTTTTAACTCATTAGTAATAATATCAAAAGGTAGAAGTGATAGAAAAAGTCTAATTGTTTATTTGAAAAAATGCATAAAATTGAAATCGAAAATAATATTCTTGATTTTGATGAAAGTACTTTGTACAGATGTGGGTTCATAAGTTACAAATATTTTTTTTAAAAATATTGCTTCATGCCCTTTTAATTTTTATACACATTAACGATAGAAATAACGAAATATACTACTGTAATTTTTTTATTATATCTCTATAAAAATTACAATATTAAATTATTGAATATAAATTTAATACTGTCATATATAATCTGTATTTTTAGCAACTATATCACGTTCATAATTTGCCACGAAACAACTGTGCTACCATTTTTTTAAATTTTGGTTTCATATTTACAAAAACTTCTTTTTTTTTTTTGTCAAATGTCAGATGTTAAATTATCTATATTATTGTTCCGAAAGTATAAAAAAGCACATAGAAATTTATGAAAGAAGTACTTTTAAAATATTGATATAGTTTGAATTGCTATATTAGTATAATTTAAAAAATCTTTACTGAATTTTAATTTTTTATTTATTTCTTAATAATTTAACAAATAAATTATAAGTTATAATACAAATTCTATATTTTAATTATATTTGACTAATTAACTCGAAGTAAAATAATGTTTCATTCATCAATATTTAAATATGTTTATTTTTTATGTATTTATTAATAATCAAAATATATTTTTTTATTTAGATTCATACCTCCAATACCTCCAAATACAAATCAAAATGATGGAATTGAAGCTCTTAATATTATTCGTAAGGAATCTGGTTGGAAAAAAATGAACCACATTAGTATAGTTTATTTTGGTAAACATCTCAGTGTAGATCATATAATAAATGATGAAGTTAGTAACATAAATTTTCAAATAAAAAAGGATCACGTATCACAATTAATAAGATGTAGATTTACAGAAATAATGAAAAACTATCGTACATTATTTTCTGCAATGTTTTATATATGCGATAAAGATGCATATGACAACTACCATAAGTGTTTAATTGAATTATTTAGCTCATTCGTTAAATCAAAACAAATGCTTGAATATTTGTATGAAGCTTTAGTTACTTTAAATAGATCATCAATATGGAGTGTTAATTATTTTTCTAAATCAAATTTACAGAGAGTTTTTGATTGGGTTACAGGATTTCTCAATTTGTTGGAGAATAATGATTTTTCTCTAAAAAATATTGATCATAATGAAATCAAAGCGGTTGAACAACTTCTAGTCATTTTTAAAAACATTTTTCATTCCTTTAACACTCAGATATCGAGTGATATGAAAATATATGATACCCTGTGCCATAAAGTTGACAAATTTAAAAATGTTCAATATTATGTAAACTATTTTAGGAATCCAGAAAATATATTAATTAATTCATATCCTGAGAATTCAATGCAAATTATGCTTTACGCATGTAATTTTTTTGACAGTTTTTGTGAAAATGTTAGCAAATCTTGTTATGAAGATCTGGGTTTTGAAAAACTTTCACACTGTAAAAACAAAGAATTAGACAGAAAACTTCTTTAGCTCATTTCTAATTCACTAGGATCACAACTTCATATTGATCGTTCACTTGACGATTGTTTTGCTTCCGGACATAAATATATTGTTTCCAGAATATTTTATTAAGGTACAATTAATACTGTGAAATTTTATTGAGCAATATAATCTTCAGTAATTATATTAATGTACTGTAATTATTTACTTAATTAAAAAACTATCTAATACTACATCATATAATATAAGTGTTTGGTGTTTTGTATCTATTATCTTTTTTCTATTTACTTCTCTAGTAGAACATACTTTTTATTCATTTTACTATGCTTAGAATGATTAGCAACGTTATAAGTCATGTTATTATTTTATACAACCTCAATATAACTAAATAATGTTATTTATACATACAAAATAAAAATAATATTGGGAATTGATTTCACATGTTTAGTTTCAAATGGTTTTTGGTTTGCAGCGAGCTTTCCGTTAGGGTCCTAACAGTTGGCTGTGCCGTACCTAAACGGGGAAATGTTGGCTCTATATAATTTATATCCCACTAAAAGGGCAGTTAGCGGTTTCGTTATCAAATAAATGTAGACTATAAACTTACAAAGATAACAAGCATTTATTTGTATTTAATATTATTTAAATATAATCTGACTGAATATCTAGAGATGTTGGTGTTATCCAACTTAGATGAGCGATGGCGTCGAGTGTACAAAACCCTTAACTTTATAATAATAATAAGTAAACAATAATAGAATTTACTTTAGTAAACACAATAATACTGCCCAAGTTATCAGATCAATAAATGTAATTTGCCGCAAGGGTCATAAAATGTCGACTGCTTTCGTTATGTTTTTAATTAATTTAAGATAATTGTGCAATCGGTTTTTTACATCAGTGCGAGACATACTTAGTTGAGCTGTTAAGTGGTTTGTGCTGATCAGGCACTAGTATAGTTATTAATTGTTAATGTTAGTGAAAGACGAATAATCTGTACGTAATAGTTTCATCTTAAGATATCAAATTTTATTTTTTCAACTTTCAATTATTATAACTTTTATAAAAATGTATGGATCAATACAATAGTTTTTTTTTATAAATCATTTATGTTTTACACAAAAATATCATTTGTTTTAAATTAAGGCAGCCGTTTGCAAATATTCGTAGAAGATAATTTGCTAGGATAACTTTTTTTTTTAATTTATAGTATATAACATAAGATTTAATTTGATAAGTATTTAAAGGACACAGTATTTCCAGAACATTTTTAAAAGTTAAGTTGAAAAAATTACTTTTCGTAAAAAAGTTGCTATTTTGAATCCTCTCAGAGGTCAGGTATAGTCAGGATTTCAAAAAATGTATATTAAATAAAATAAGTATAAATTATATAAATATAACAATTTTTATATTTTCACAAGTTTTATTCAAAAATAATAAATTTCATTATAATAGTGTGCATAATCTATATGAATTCTTTTCTCCTTCTTCAAAATAGCCGTAAACCTGTGTGCCAAATCACGAGCACTTCTATTTTGGTATTTTTTATTTGACTAAAATTTATTTCTGTATAGGAGTGTGCAAACATTTATTATTCTAATTTAACCGTATATGTATTATATTGAATCATGACTACTAGTTGCGATTTTGCAAAGTTCTCTATTTTTATTTCAAGGTATACGCTAATTTGTGAGCTTATACTCATTAATATAAATAGTACAAAAGTAAAAATTTTCTAGGGTATAAAAAAAAGTTGGTGTATTATGCTGCATATTCCCTAAAATATCATTGATGACTACTTAACACGTTTTTAGTTATAGTTCCATGCGAGAATATAAATAAGTCCCAAACCCATTTTCTTTAAAAGATATGATGTTCTTTAGTAAGAGTTAGACGAAAAACCACTTTTTTTTTTATANAGTCCAAGTGTCTGAATTTCTTTAGTAAGAGTTAGACGAAAAACCACTTTTTTTTTTATAGTTGTAGAATCATATATCATAGAATGGATCTATAAATATTTTAATCACAAAGTCATTAAAACTTGTTATTTATATCTATGAATAATATTACGATTTGTTCAAGATCAATTTTTATATAAAATATAAAAAAGTAAACAATATTTCTTCAAATTTCTAGCATAAATACTCATATTTTCCTGAAATCGTTTTCAAAATTAAGTAAATAAACTAAAAATTTAATATACAAAGAACTAAATTATTCATAGTATCAAAATCAATTTAGTATCTTACCAAAAAATTTAAAAAAATTGTAANTTTTAAGCATTTTAATGATATTACAATTTTTTATCAGCCTAGAGAAGTCTTATTCAAGACAAATAATAAAACTTCTTATCAAGAATTAATAACTAATAAGGTAACTTTTATAAAATTAAATTTTTTAACAAAACATAATTTAATAAAATGTAACTATTTAATGAAATTATTTAAAATATTATTAAAAAAAATTATTAACTTTTAAATAATAATTCATTAAAGAGATTGGAGGTCAATCCATATCAAATCACACTGTAAAAATAACACTGTATACTAGAGTGCATCAACATTTTAATTTTACTCTTTTTTACAACCATATATTTACAGTTAGTTTATATGCCACTAAAACATTTCATCACCTTGCAAACGGAAATTTAAGGAAGAAATCATATTTATCCCAAATTTTTATACATTGAATAAAAATAAAAATTAATGATATCTTATTAATCTACGTGTAAAAATCAACAAAATAAGTGCTGATTGATTAGAAATCAATTTAATTTTAAAGAGTTTAAAACAATTTTGTTTTTTAATAGCGGCATACATATTCAACGATATTATAGAATAGGAAATAATTTAATTAAGAAAATGACTTGTCGATATCAACTTTTGGACTAGTACTTTGATGTCATCCTCATTTTTATATGTAACCTTACGAAGAGTACGGTCGAGAAATGACTAAGAATAAAAATAGCAGCACCCACTACACACCATTAGTACTATTTAAATTTTTTTCGCATACAATAATCATTATTGTATTTATTTTGTGAGTAATCAAATGGCTTATGATAAACCGATCATGCTGTATACTTCGTGGCTCTTTGTTCTATTTTATGAATAAAATTTTTTCCTAATAAGTTCATTAAATATATATGTTACCATTTTAAACAAACATCTTACACACCCCTATATGTTAAAGGGATAATCCTAAAAAGTAATTATAAGTAATAAATCATTATATATATATATAGCTAAAAAAAGCAACAATTTTTTTTCAATATTATATTTATTTTGATAGTAATCGAAAAGTTTATGATCACTTTCAATTATTTTTAATCAATTTTTTTCAATTATTTTAAAAGGATATATTAAAGAATAATAACACAATCAAATACTGAGTTTTTTAATTTTTGTTTAATCAACTCATTAATATGATGTTATTAATAATTCTACTTCCTGATTTTGTAAATAAAGTTATAGGTTACTGCATTGTTGTAAATTGTATGATCAAATGAGTGCTCGTGATGTGTCACACAAGGTAGCGGCTTTTTGAAGAGGAAAGATTATTATAGTTTTATTTTATATACTAAATATAGGTATAGGTTTTAGAAATATAACAATTTTTATATTTCCAGAATTTTTATTCAAAAATAATAAATTTTATTATAATACTGTGCATAATCTATATGAATTAATTTCTCCTTCTTCAAAATAGCAACTTGTGTTCCAAATCACGAGCACTCTTATGTTTGTATTTTTTAATCACAATGAAAATATCAAGTGTAAAAAGTTATTGTTTAATGGTAAATTATTAAATGATATATCAATATTGTTGTCTACATTTCCAAGAAGTTTTACTGCTTCTATAAAAAATTTTAGAGAAATAATTATATTGCGTTTGATATTTGATCATACAATAAACAACAATACTGCGTTTTTATTTACAAAATTATCAGTAAAAAACTTTTATTACATCAAATTAATGGATTGAAATAAAATAAAAATTTAAAATAGTAATATTTATAAGCAAAGTGCTATTTCAAGTCTTTTTTTTCTGTATAAAATTCTATAGTAAAGTTATCTATAAACTAACCAATAAAAGGATTATTGAATTCATATAATATGATATTATTAATTTTAAAATTGTCACTAAATACAAAAATACGCGAAACCCCTTTTTTTCCTGTTACATTTCCTCTCAAAAGGTGGGAAAATAAGTTTTTGTGGAGTTCTATAGTTTCAAAGCTTTTATATTATTTTTATCTCTATGAACCAAATGTAAAGATATGGTCGAAATAATTATCTGTTTAGATGATTGTTTTAAACTTTATCAAAATGGATTGATTTCTAAGTTGAGTAATAATGTGCACCACAAGAATGTTTAGTAGGGTTAGCCAACTGTCAAATTTTTCTACTGACCTTTAGTAAATAATTACATATTATAGAAATGTCTATTTGGAAAAAAGTTTTTAGTTGTTTTTTTTTTTTTCAAATATCAAGCACAATTTAATTCCTGAAGAAATAAACCAAATGATTGAAAAGATTTTCCCAGACTCAGAAAATATTTATTCAATTAGAAATATCCTAAAAAACTTGAAAGCAATTAAAGACAATAACACAGCAATAATAACAATGTGGGTTATATCTTACAACACACAATTATTTAAATGGCGGTAGACTTTTATTAAACAAAATTATAACACTAAAATAG